GGCGCGCGCCGCGGACGCCGAGGCCGCCGCCGCGTCGGCGCGGGCGGCGGTGCGGCAGGCGGCGGCGGAGCTTACCGACCTCCGGCGGCGCAGCGCAGCGGCAGATGAGGAGGTGTCGGATCTTAGATCGCGCCTGGATCGCGCTGAGGCAAATGCGGGAGAGGCGGCGGCGGCAAAGGCGGCTGATCTGGAGGCAGATCTGGAGGTGGCGCGGCGCGAGGCGGACGCGCAGCGCGCGCGCCGCGAGGCGGCGGAGGCGCAGCTTGAGGAGGCGCGCGCCGCGGCGGCGGCGGCGCGCGCGGGCGCGGAGGAGACGGAGGGGGAGCTGCGGCGGCTGCTGCAGGAGCAGCGGGCGGCGGCGGCGCGGCTGGCGGAGGAGCTGGAGGGAGCGAAAGACGGCGCGGGCGCGCGGGCAGAGGTGAGTGTCCGCCAACACGCGCACACGCGCGCGAGTGCGTGCACTGGCCCGCGCCCCAGGAGCTGGGCCGCGCCGGTCGGTGGTCGGAGCGGAGGCGGCGGCCTTGGCGGAGGGGGCAGGGCACCCCAGGCGCTCCGACCCTGCGCTTGTGATTGTTATTGGCTTGTTGTCGCCTAGCTGTTCCTGAACCCGTGTCCTAATTCTTCCCATCCCCTCAAATAATCCCCCAGGAGCAACGGCAATCCAAAGAGGAGCGTGAGCAGCTGCAGCGGCGTCTGGAGGAAGCGCTGGCGGTGAGGGGGTCGGGGTTTGTTTTGGGGTGGGGGCGCACCCCCCTCGACCCCAAAGCAGCCGGTTGTGAAACGTTGCACTAGCTGCCGCTGCTGCCGCTGCTGCCCCTGCTGCCGCCGCCGCCGCCCATGTAAAGCATGGCCGGCCTCCCACGCTCGCAGGACGCCGCCGCGAGCGCCGCCGCAGCAGCAGAGGCCGGAGAGACCCTCTCCGCCGTCCAAGCCTCCGCGGCCGCCGCGGACGCGCGCGCCGCCGAGGCGCGCGCCGAGGCGGGCCGGGCGCGCGCGGAGGCGGAGCAGGCGCGGGAGCAGGCCGCGGAGCTGCGGCGCGCGAAGGAGGCGGCAGAGGGTGAGACGCCGGCCCGCCGGCCATCCTTTGAGCTTCCGGCCGCGGCTGCGCGAATTCTCCTGAACAGATGGGGCCGGGGCGCCCGCGGCACCGCCACGCATGGGACGGCATGGCTCCCCTGCACGCAAACACATGCTGCAGCCGTGCTTGTTCCATCCTGCTGGGTAGCAGTGCGGATTCTTGACCAATTTGTACACAAATCAATTATGATTCCCTGCGCCCCATGATCCTCTCAATCGTCGGCATGTTTGCACGAGCGCAGCCGAGGCCGAGAGCGCGCGCGGCAGCGCCGGCGAGCAGGCGGAGCGGCTGCGGCGGATCGCCAAGAAGAAAGCAGAGGAGGCGGACGAGTTGCAGGTGGGTCGGCCAGCGATTTTTTTCCCCGTTCGGGCCGACGACCCACAAGCGTGGTTGGCTGCACGCGCGGGGTCGGTCGCCGAAACGGGGTTGAGCAGCGCAGGCCGCTGCGCGCCTGCGCAGTGCCCCCACAGCGCCTCCACCAGGGTGGAATCGAACGAGCCAAAACGATTGGCCTCGCCCCGACGCATCTACAACTGCATCTGAATTCGCAGGGCCAGCTCGCGGCCACCAAGGAGCGGCTGTCCGTGGCCGAGGACTCCCTTGCGGCGCTGCAGCGCCGCGCCGACGCGGCCGACGCGGAGGCAGCCGCGCTGAGGGGCCGCGCGGCGGTGGCGGACGCGGCGGAGCGGGAGGCGGCGGCGCTGCGGCGGGAGCTGCAGGGGGCCGAGGCCCAGGTGGGGTCTGTGGGCGTTCCCTGCGCTCTGCATTCGACAGGCATGCTTGTCAATCGTTTCCCGTGCGTCAGGGGGCCGTGCGGTTCGTGGGCTGTGGCGGCGGCGTTTGCGCCGTCGGGGCAGCGCCTCGGGAGCGTGAGGGCGCGGATTCTCCAGTAGAAACAGCGCGCGATGAGTCATCCAAGGGTCCGAAAGTCGGGAGAGCGCTGGAAACCCCTCAGCAGCCGAAGCGCACCCCCGCAACCGCCACGCGCGCGAGCAACCGCTTGGCGCCGCCCGCCCGCCCCGCCGCCAGGTCGCCGGCGCCGCGGCGCAGCTGAGCACCCTGAACGCGCAGCTGGCGGAGGCAGAGGGACAGCGCGACGCCGCGCAGGTGCGGCCCGCGCGCACACATGCACATGGGCGCGCGCGCTGCGGGCCCCGGCGCGGGCTCGCGCGTGCTGCAAGGTCGTGGCATTGCTTGAGCAGTCGTGTGTCGTCATGTGCTTTTCACCATGGGATGGGGGGCATGGTATTTCTCGCGAGCAATCCCTTGTCTCATCTCACAAACGCCAGGCGGAGGTGTCGCGGCTGGAGGAGGAGGGGGTGGAGCTGCGGTCAACCTTTGGGGACAGGCAGGCGCTGGCTGAGCAGGTGGGCGCCCCCTGCCGCGCGCCGCGCGCGCGCCCCCAGCGGCCTGCCCCGCGGCTGAAACGTGCGGGGGTCTGCGGGGGCCGCCCGCATTGCCGCCGCCCCGCGTGCAGCCGCGTGCGGGGCGCCCAAGGGGCTGCCCCGGCCTCTGCGTCCGTCTGCAGGAGGGAGGACGTCGATGAGGCCTCTCCTGCCCCCCCAAACACACACACCCTTCCCTCCGCACCCGGCATGCACAACCAAAACTTGCCGGCACGCGCCCTGCGCCTCGCCTCCCTCATCAATGGCTCTTCCGCAGCTGGCGGCTTCTACCGCGCGCGTCCAAGAGCTGGAGCCCCGCGCGGCGCGGCTGCCGGACGCCGAGGCACGCGCGGCCGCCGCGGAGGGCGAGGCGGCGGTGTTGAGGGAGCAGCTGGAGCGTTCGGCGGCGCAGGTGGGGCTGGTGGGAGAGCGCCCGCGTCCTGCGGTTGCAGGTCGGCTCGCAACTCCAGGCTCCTTGTGTGAGGGCACACAAATGCATGATTGATCTCAGTTGCGTCACACCCATGTGTGCGCACCTTTCCCAGCACAAATGAACACACACACACACACACACACACACACACACACACACACACACACACACATACACACACACACGAACGCATGCCTACAATTCAGGTGTCACGCCTCGAGAGCCACAGCCTCTCCATCCAATCGGAATCGGAGGGCCTCGCCGCCCAGCTGCAGGAGGAGCGCGAAAAGGGCGAGGCGGCGCGCCGCCAGTGGGCCGCGCGCCTCAACGCGCTGCCCTCCACGTCCAGGTGTGTGTGGTGTGTGTGGGTGGGTGCGGGGTCAGGGCTGCAACTTCTCACACATGCTGGTTGTTTGAAGAGCGGCGTAACGCTCGGCCCCCTCGTGGGGGAAGGGTGCCGGTGGCACGGCGGGCGGGCAGCCCTAATCGGCCGATCCTTTCTGTCCTGTAGAATACCATAGTCATTCTTTATCCTCGTCTCTTCCTGTTTGCTCGATCGACTGATTTGCCTGATTGTCTGATTAGCTGGTTTATGACACAAGCGCGTCTGCACCGCAGGGACCAGTGGCCGCAGCCTGTCGCAGCCGTCGTGGAGCTCGCAGAGAGGGCTGCCGCCGACGCCGCCGCTCTCGCCGCAAAGCAGGGTGAGGGGCCGGCCCCGTCCCCCGCCCGCCGACTGCACTGGCGGAGCGCGCTCCTCCCGTTGGCCCCTTCACCACCCTCCGCACACGCCTGCCCCCTTGAGTTGTTGCATCTTGTCACCTTTCAGCCTATTGAATCACGTGTCACCTCATGTTACGTCACAACCCACGACATCGCACGTCATATATCACATCACATCGCAACGCATACGCGCCCGAATCAACGCCCCAACCCACCAGAGTGCGAGGCGCTCGAGGCGCAGCAGGCGGAGGAGCTGTCAGCCCTCCGCGCCGCCGCCGACGCCGCCGAGACGCGCGCCGCCGCGGCCGGCGCGGCGGCGGCGGCGGCGGAGGCGCGGGCGGAGCGGCTGGGTGAGGAGTTGCGGCATGCGGAGCTGCGGATGGCTGAGCAGGTGGGGGTTTTAAACCCGGGGGGAGTGGGGACAATGCGCCCGTGTGTGAGGGTGACGAGTCGTGACGTCACTATAGGCTCGCACACGGCGCGAGCGATCCGGCTTGTGGGGCGCGAGCAGCTGTGCAGACCGAGACCGTCGTCCGCTGCTCTTGGTCGCGGCCGTGCGTGCTGCGCGGCCGCCGCCATGACCCACCCGGGGTTACTGCGCCATCCACAAAACCCTGGTGCGAGTACCCTCCTTCTCACCAGCCAGCCCCGCCCCCGCCCCTCGTCCAAATCGGCCCCCTGTTTGAAACCGCGCGCCCGACAGGCGGAGGCGGCGGCGCGCGACCTGGCGGCCGCGCGCGAGGAGGCCGCGGCGGAGGCCGCCGAGCTGCAGGGCCGACTGCAGGAGGCGCGCACCGCGACGGGCGGCGAGGCGCGCGGCTGGCGGGAGCGCGCGGAGGGCCTCGAGTCGGAAATGGCAGAGCTGCGGGAGAGGGTGAGGCCACCCGCGCCAACCGCCTGGCCGATACCTGTCACCCGTCACTCGACCCCCGCCGCTCGTCGCCCGTCCCTCGTCGCTTGGACTCCGCGTTGCCTCATGTTTGCGTTGCCTGGTGTGCGCCCCGCCAGTGGAGGACAGACACGTCCGGTCGGACGGGCTGATTCAGACGCAGAGGGCACGCAAGGCGCTCTGCGGCGCGCAAGCTCCGCCCCAAAGGCGTTTGCGGCAGCGGCGGCGCTATCTCTCGTCATATGCTGTTCCCTCAAAACCGCAGGTCCGTAGTTTGCTCGAGGAGAAGGACACAGTCATAGACGCCCTCCGCGCCCAGCTGCGCGCCGCTGGCCTGCCCTCCACTGGCGGCGGCCTCTCGCGCGG